CTTGCCCATGAAGATTTTTCTTTATGTTTTCAGTCAACAGCATGGAACATGTAATTCTTTAAATTTTTCTTTGTATTATTTCTGTTCTGCCTCTTTACTCTTGAAATTTTTAGGCTGTCGAAGCAGCGTTACACAGCGAGTTAGAAATTGTGATGGCTAGAAGATTGAAACAAATTGAACAGCACTGAAGTCCGTCTTTAATGTTCTTCTAAATTATTCAACTTTATTGTGCCGTTTCGTACAGTGTTTTTCTATGGTAGTTTTTTTTCTTTTTCATTTTATAATAGAACACTATTAGCAACTTTCCATCAAATAAGAAAGATCTTTTAAGCTTAAGCGGAAAATGTAAAAGAGATGTTAAAGACCATAGTTTATTTCCGCTAAAAGTTATTTTTTGTAGTTTCAATGTTGTCGGAGTGTGAGGGTGTTCTTTCAAAGTTTTTAGCCAAAAACTGAGGTACTAAAGGGTATCTGGATTTTGAACTCATTGAAATTTTTGACTGTTTATTGACTAGGTAGATGTGGTAAATATTGTTAGGTTTTTAATATTTACCGAATATCTGGTAATTGCTTGATGCAACACAGTGTTGTCATGGTGTTGACAGATAAATGAAAAAACTGCTCTGATAACGTTGATATTATTCGACATACTTGAACGGTGTTAAATTGATTCACTTTAAAGCTTTATTTAGCGGAAAAATTTATGGTTTTTGCGATTTATTTTGTGTTCCTTTTGTACACATACATCAGCTAAGCATATACTGTTGTCTTGTGCCATTTTGTTTAGCTGAAGGCTTAATTCAATATTTCTTTTAGACACTTTAAGAATGGATTTAAAATTTGAATGTAGATGTTAAGAAGAACTTCCTTGATTTTTTAGAGGGTTTGGAGCTAATAAGACCTTGTAGTTTTAGACCTTCTACTATTCAAATCTTCCAGTTCTGCTCTCTATGACAAAAATTTTCTTTTTTAGGAGAGTTTTTTTTGAATATTAATTCTACACTAAAGTCACTGAAATATTTTTGCACGCAACTATTTTATTTTCTTTACAACTGCGATGTGCAAAAAACATCGCATTCTTACCGGTGAAAATTTATTTTGTATATATTGAACTTTTTTAAATCAATTGTTTTTTTCTTTAATTTTTGTTACTTCTTTTCTGGTTTTAAGTTTATTAAATTTTAAACGATTGTTTTCCTTTCAACACACAATATAGTCATATAACAGTACCACACGCTTCTAAACCATCAAAGCTTTTTGATATGCTCATCTGGTATTTCTAAAAATTGGTATTGGAGAAACTGATCAATCTAGAAGAGCATTAGGGGAGGCGAAGTTTTTGAAGGGAAACAGTTTCCTACTAGCGTAAAGCAGTTTATTTTAGCTGCTTCGCTGTCCTGTATTCTGCCAGGAAACCATTAGTTCTCTATAAGTACAGCCTCAGGCCACTACTGGTTATTCGTAGTCATTTGGGGATGCGGTTCATATGACACCTGAGCTACTTGCAATTGGATTGAACTGGACGATTTAAGTAGTAGGGCAGCCGGAACGCTACCAGCCAACGACCCGCATTGATTGCCAGATGACTGACCACGAAGTATTGAAGATAAATGGTTGATGGATGGTTTTCCAACGGTGGCTGTGGTGTAGACGTATTTAATATTATCTCACATAACCGTAAACTTCGGCTGCTCATCC